TCCAACAATTCTATAATTTTAAATAGCTTTATTGTTTCAACATATCTAAGATGATGAACTTTTCAAGAAATGAAAGATATGCTGCACAAATCTGTACAAAAGTAAATTTGTTATTTAAATGTGTGGTATATTTTACATCAGATTATATCAATATGATATTTTGTTTATTCTAGACAAGCAATAATTCATAGTTGAGTCTGTGCGCGCGTGTGTGTGTGTGTGTTTGTTTTTTTTTTACAGCCTTATGAAAATGTGACAAAATATTCACTTCTTCTAGATGTTGTTGAGACTAAATTAGTCGTAGCATGCCGCTAGCCCATTTTTATATTTCCTAATGAAATCCAAGTTCCTCTGGGAGAGAAACCTCGTGTTTAAGGGGAATTACGGCACGCCACACCAATCTAACCACTAATATAAAATCTCTAAACTGCACATTCAGCGCTAATGTTGGTTGCTGATTGCCATGGCCAGTGACAGGTCCGAGGTAGTAGGTTGACGGTGAAGCTGTTGTACAAAAAAAATGGGCAGTTCTCGGTGCGGCTATGGCGGTAAGGTGGTAATGTGGCAGTTAGTGTAGCTTATGGAGCTCATTCTAATGGTCAGTCAGCTCGTTACATGCTGTCGTGTCTTAAGCCACGCACGTGACCAAACAGACTTGTTGTATAAGATGTTTGAGCCACAGTTACCATTCGAAGCATTGATGGTGTATATAGTCTAGAATTAAATCTGAGTTTAAGTTTGAAATGTTTAACCCAAACAGGACCAACTTCTACTTAGCATAAAACCCAGAGAGTTATTCTAAACGTAACTGAAATGTCAATTAAAGATGCTTTGGACGATAAGATGTGTAAAAGTCAAACATTTCACATTTTTCATTAGCGGGATAAAAATAATTGTGAGTTATACTTCCTTGATCTATGATTTAAAATGCTAACAACATTATAAATTTAGTGAGCTTTTCAAACCCTATAATCTAACTTATTTTGCTCAGCTTCCACGTTTCATGCTTACAGATATCAGTAATTATACTTTCTTTCTGCTCACCCCCTCCAGTGTCACAGCAGTATGTCTGCAGATTTACAACGCTAGAAACCGAGTTTCGATATTCGCGGTGGGCAGAGCACAGATAGCCCATTCTGTAGCTTTGTGCTTAACTTCAAACAAACGAACAAAATTCTTTCTGCCCCTCTGGTGGCTTAGCAGAACGTCTGAGGGTTTATAACGCTAAAACTCGAGGTTCAATACACGCGGTTGGCACAGCACAGATAGCTTTGTGCGTAACAAATATAAATTGTCTTTATTAATTTGAGCTAACGAAATATTTTTCTTTCTGTTGTGCACGAATCACCTTGTGCACAAGCACTTTTAAAACGGCAGAGTCCAATTGTCATTGAAACATCACTACTTTATTTATCGATGAGTGTAAACAAGTCGACAGTTGTCATTGAAACATCACTACTTTATTTATCGATGAGTGTAAACAAGTCGACAATTGTCATTGAAACATCACCACTTTACTTATCGATGAGTGTAAACAAGTCGACCTGTCAGCTACAGAAATAAATCTCCATTTTACTGTGATTTAAGAATGTATTTATAGAAATAATTTCCTAATAAACTATAAAATGAAACCTTTTGATACAAGTACCATCTGAATATCGAAATCCATCTTTATCGTTTATCCTTACACAAACCACATAATGCTCAGTCAGCCACTGGGGATATAGAGTTTAAAGTATTAAGAGATTGAACTAAGACTGTTTACTGGATGAATTGAATTGTTCGTATGGTTTGTGGATTGATACAGGTACCTACCGCATAATTTTACATTTCAATACGGTTTTGAAGTTTTAAATTCGTGTATATGTGTGAGACTATCCACAAACTACATGTACATTTCACACTTTCACGTGAGAATATATGTGTATATATATGCAAAGACAGAGGTTGAGTACGTTATATTAAAATGACTTTGAAATCTCACCATGTCGTTACAGTCCATGCCACCACGTCTGGTCGTCCTCTATCTGACGACCTGCATCGTAGTTTCCATTGCTAAAGGCTCCATCGTGAGGGTATCATGTCCAAAGTGCGCCCCCATTTGTGCTGCTTTCCGTAATCTATTTATTGAGAACACCGGTTTTCCAGCGCCCGTTTCAACATTCCGATCGCACAGAAATTCATAGGCGCTGCATCTGACGACTTGATGGGAATGTCTTCATATGTACTAGCATGAATACCCATTTTATTTTCCAGCTACTTGATGTATCCGATGGTTGAACGGATATGTCGTGAAAGTAACTTGTGTCGCTTTTCCAAACGGATATACTTCCTGATTATACTTCATAATGTTGCCTGGATCACGTATACTGTATTTTTTTTTGTTGTTCGACATAAGTTAAAGGAATTTAAAAAGTGTACGTTACATTAAAACGATTTCGAATAAGCAAATCACATGAAAACCACAGCCGTTTGGCGTTTCGAAAGTAGTTTGATACCACTGAAAATGGATCGTTTTTGGGAAGGGTATATTACAGCCTTTTCCGACACAAAATATCTATACACCCAAAACATAAAGATGTGGTGAGATCGCGGATTTGGAATTTCCAAAACGGGGATACTCTTTATACTTAATGGCATTGGAAAACAAAGGAGTGTGGAACAACTTGGGAAACCATCCAGTTAAGAGACATGCTACAAGTTGTACCCCCAACTATAGTAAGCAAAATGCGGCGTCTTGTAACAGGGGAGAATCCACGATTCCCCCAGTGGCACAGCGGCATGTCTGCGGATATACAACGCTAGAAACCGGGTTTTGATATCCGTGGTGGGCAGAGCACAGATAGCCCATTTTGTAACTTTATGTTTAACTACAAACAGACAGAGAATCAAAACTTGTGGCTATCCACAAATAAATCTTCTGGTTTTACAGTTTCTTAACAGTTCAAAAATTTTAAGGAGGATTTCTCTTTATCCTCAAACTACAGGCACATTAATTTGTTGTATTCATGTTGGGATCTAAAGTGCATGTACAGTTGTACATTACGTTAACTTACAGATATTTGTGTCTATATATCTACAAACAACTCGCACAGTTTTGCATTTCCTCGATTTGAAGGTACTAGAGTTTGACACTTCTTTATCTTAAGGATTTGTGCCGTTTTTAACTTGCGTGTTGTTGTGATTTTTATCTGCATTTAACGTTTTTTATTTCTTTGACTTGCTGGAAATTACGTATACGTCTTTAGATATATTTAACTCTCAAGGAATTGTGCCGGGTTGAACTTTCGTAATGTTGTGTCTACACCTACAGTGTTGTATGCTTTTTTAACTGACAGGGATTGTGTCTATAAGCCGGTTTTATATATATATTAATTTACTTCCAGGGATTATTTTGCTCTTCACTAACAGAAATTTATATATATACTTATATAGATTTTTAATCACGGGATGTTGTGTCTGGCAATAATCTTCGTGTATAGTTTATCATTTATATATCTTATGGGAATTAATTAGTAGCTAGCGTCCGCAGAATGTTAATCCGAGGATTCGTGGTTCGCGTCCCCTTTGCTGCAAGAACGCAGTTTGCACTTTGGGAGCGAGGTTGTGCCCACTATTCGGACAGATACGAGTAGTCGAAGAGTTGGCGATGGGTACTGTTAAGTTCCTTCCCTCTAATTTGTCAACTTAAAATAAGATCCGTTTATGCTTTGATACCCCTAGTGTAGCTTGGAAAGAAAATTATACAACCAAACAAACAAATAAATGTGTGCAGTCTTGGATAGATCTAACTTTCGGGTATTTGTGTCCAGAGCCACCCATAGAAATCCTTGAGCTTGGGGCAAGTCTTTTGTTTGCCCTCCCCCCTCTTCACACACACACACACACACACACACACACAGAAAACTTGATCGATTCTTTACTCGAGATTTCCAAGCAAATGTATTAGTAATATTGTTGTGTAGCTTGCGCCTTGAAGATATCCTCTCTTTCTGCAAAAATAAGAAGACGAGGAAGTTTTACTCCTAAAGGAAGGAAACAAGGAGTCCACATTTTCTTACTAGTGATATGTTATAAACTTTCTGTTAAAAGATTGCGCTATACACGTGTAATATCAATACTTTAAAGCATTATTTCTTATATACTAACATGACTTACAATATAGCTATCATGGTAAAGTAAAACATTCGGGTATCCCTTACCGTTGTGACGGTTTATATTGTTGGACAGGTTCTGTTTGATTAAGTCCAGTCCACTTAACGAGAAGTAAAGCGATTAATTTCTTCAGTTGTAATTTTTACAACTTACACGTTTCATAAAGTAACTATAACCAAGCGATAGGCGTAACTCGCAAATGAAACTCAACAGCCACTTCCTTAATAAATTGCTAATCGTATCTACAGCACAAACTCAAAAACATGTGCGACAATGAAATGACTTACTAATTCATTGGCTGATCAACTAATTAAAGTTAGGTGTATGAATATTAATGACGTTAACTGTAAAAAGTGTTTTTGTTTTATTAATTAAAGAAGTATACTGCACTGTTTTATTTGTGTATTAGGATTGTACAGAGGACTTCACAATTCATGGAAGGGCAGTGTTGTGAGCTATGTTTTTAATATCTTAATTTAGACGTCTTCTGTCATTTGTTAGAAGGAGTTTTGGCAAGACGTAGTGATGACGTGTGACGCCTAGAAACTTTCTTAATACCTAGACTTTACGTGACGTCTCGAATTTTCTAGAAACTCGGGACTTAGTTAAAACAAATATTGTGATATAAAAACACGTGTTATTCAGTTAGTCAACAAAATTATAATCGTTGAACCAATATTGAAGTATGCAAAACACAAAATACAATCTTAATTTGATCAATAAGGCAGTATTTCATTAATTAGTGATTTCCAAAATCTGAATTGTATTTTCATCAAATCTGTTTTGATTGTTTTCTTTTCAATGGGTTATGGTAGAAAGATGGGATGGCCTTTTTCCCCCCTTACCTTAGCCTGCTGTCTTGTCAAGTTTTCTCAAGGTGTATGGCCGAAAGAATTCACTAATACTCTGGAAATGGTCTCAACAGGAAACATCACTAAGTCATCCCAAAACGTCCTCTACCAAACAATACAAAACGTCTAAATCAGATTATTAAAAACTTAGCTCACAACAATACGAATACGGTATATTGACACAAGACCTTGCACGGCAACATATCACAGAGATCTAGTAAATTGGATACTATAGCAATATGATTAAATGAACGTCCGGTGAACAGCAAGCATGCTACCATAGAACACTAGTTTGTTAATTAGTCCTTTTTTTCTGAATATTGAGTAAAGTTAATTTAAGTAAAGATAAATAATAATAAATAAGGGATATTAGAATAAATCAAAAATGTTGCGTTATTAACACTTACACAAATTTTTATTTGTAAATGACTCATATAAAATTGATAAAAAATTACATTTCACTTACTTAATCTAGTTCACACCATTTAGTTGTTGCTCATGGAATTTTATAACATAAACTTCTTCTCAACCACTAATGTGTATGGCGTATCCCAACCGGACTGATGAGCCCTGGTAGAGGGCGAAAGGCTTCGTCGGTACAGGTTGTGGCAGATAAAGTATAGTTGACATATTGTTATATATTCTTCTTTACTTTCACTCTTAAGTTTGTATAAATTATTAAAACCAAGAACATAGTTTTACACACTTGTGACAATTGTAAAACTGCACACTTAGTCACTTCAACGTTAGTTAATTTTCATCTGCTAAGCACATAGTCTTGTACATCAAAATATTATCTAATTCTATTTCGTAATTCCAAGACAAACAAATATAATCTGACTTTCCTAATGGGCTACTTCAGATGTGCTAAACCCCTTTTTTCACAAATTTCGCGATGTTTTTGATAAAATACTTTTCCTTTTTTTCGCGGAACGTGGAATGATTCATCAAAACACTCCTTTATTTACGAAAGTAAGGACGCGGATGCATACTCAAATTGTCGTACACACAGAAATGGCTGAGGTAGCCACGTAGTAAGTTGTTGTGTCTTATACATGTGAATAACAAACACGTTGGCGTAGTTGTCCAAAGTTGTCCAGTGTTATGAAGTTAGATGAAAGATAACATCAGTTGAAGCTGAGAAAGCGGCCGGCCTTTTGTTAGTCTCTAAGGAATCAGGGGATTACAATACTCTAAGTCTTTAGAAAATGATTAGAGTGAGCGGGTATAGCGGCCGCCTTTCTAAGTTCAGTTAGTATGGAGACTACATGCTTATGAAACGTTATAATCCGATATACGGGAAACAAATGAAAGGTCAGAAAGAAAGGGACCTATTCAGTGTGGGGTTGCGAAAGGAATATAAAAGACGGGAGTTCAATAAAGAAGAAGAGAAGAAGACCGAGAGATGTGAGAGAACACAAATAAACTGAAAGAGGCGAAGGAAGAAAGTAATATGTTGCTAGTAAGAAACAAAACCTATTTCTAAATCAAAGTTTAATTGATTACTAGTAGTAAATAGAAATCTATTATGTTTACATTGGTATGAGTCAATTCCTGCAAGGAATAAATACAATAAGAGGGGAAAGCAAAGTGCTAGTATAGCACGATCGTAACATTCGGGCCACAAAACGGAAACTGAGCAATCACAGAGCTTCACAGTTATACATTACGCCGGTGCTTACACGAGTGCATTCTGTTGGATTATATAACATGAAATAAATTTTGTACAGCGTTATAAATGGACCGCATACGTTTATAGTATGCTTGATTACGAAATAAATCTTACATTTTTCTATCATGTAGTTATCATTCAATCTGGGAAATAAAAACTTCAAACAGATAAAGTCGTAGTAACACTACCAACATTATGCGAACTTTGGTTGTTCTGTTAAGAAGTAAAATACGCAATCACTGTACCGAAACGACGTGTAGAGTTATTACACAGCTTGTTTGTTTGTTATTAAGCACAAAGGTTTTGTTTGTTTGTAATTAAGCATAAAGCTACACAATGGGCTATCTGTGCTCTACCCACCACGGGTATCGAAACCTGGCTTCTAGCGTTGTAAATCCGCAGACATGCCGCTGTGCTACTGGGGGGGGGGCATTACACAGCTATTACATAAAGAACGTAAGTTTGATTGTTGGACCGCTGCTCTGTGATTGGTGTCATTTTCCGTGTTTGTGTACCGAAGATTCATAAGAAAATAGTTTGCTTCCGTACCCCCCCCCTGCCCAGAACAAGCTATACAGCTGTCCTCCACCCTGAAGGATTGATATATATATATATATATATATCTACAGTCTACTTTTATACATATCTTGGACTTGCAGCTATTTATGACATTCTTTGTTCTTCAATAGTATTACGCCTATCTACCGAGTTATACCTTTCTTTAACTTGTAGGAATGTGTGTCTATCAACAAAGTAATCTTACTGTTTTATATAACTTTAACTTGTGTTGTTTTTAAATTGTGGTTATTTTTATACCTGTACAGTTTTACGTTTCTTTAGGTTATATTAACTGACTGGAAAAACTGATTCTGTCTACAAATTACATGAACAATTTAACAATTCTTTAACTTGTGTAGATTTGTGTAATTCAATGAACTATACGTTCAGTTTTTATATGTAGATTTGTGTAATTCAGTGAATTATACGTTCATTTTTTCTATTTATTGGACTTGAGGATTTTTATATTGATCTAATAACAACGCGTACACTTTATGCGTCTCTGATTTGTTGAAATGTATGCCGATCAACAAAAACCACTATTAAAATTTGTATATTTCTATAAACTTTCAAGAACTTGTGGGGTTATAAACGTGCAGGGATTTGTGTCGTTATTTGCAGTTTTACATTCCTTTAAATTGTCTAGATTTATATAGATCTGCATACTACACGATACAACTTAATTTTTCTTGAACTTGTAAGGATAGGAATATTTTTTACCTAAAAGAAATTATTATCTATGCAGTAGATTTAGTACTTTAGACTTTAGTAGATTTAGACTGTGATGAGTTAGTTTGAATATTTTACTTTAATAAATTAAGAAGGACCAAATTTTACATTTTGGAACTCGGACCAACTTGTATTGTATCTTTATTCGATCGTAATGTTTCACTGTATTAACGGAGATAGTTAAAAACAACTATCAGACAAGGTAGCCCCCAATGGCACAGCGATATGTCTGCGGACTCGCAACGCTAGAAACCGGGTTTCGATACCCGTTGTGGGCAGAGCACAGATAGCTCATTGTGTAGCTTTGTGCTTAATTACAAACAAACAACCGAACAAACAAGATAATCGTTCCTCGATGACTAAGGAGTAAGCTTAAGAGCTTTTTACCATAAAAATCGTGGCTCAATCCATGCTGCGAACAAAGCATATGCAGCTCATTATACGCTGAAAGAACAAATAAGCAAATAAGAAGAACATTAGAAGATGTCATGAGACAAAAATATAAAGTTTCGTGAAAGTTCGTTTATTAAAATGTGTTATTCATAATTGTAATTTTCAATTTGATGAAGTTAACCTTTTTATTTAACCCTATGGGTAAGCGGTAAGTTTACTGTCTTACAACGCTAAAGACATAGTAAATAGCCCAGTGAGGCTTTACGCTAAAACACACAAATTTAACTGCTGTAAAAAAAAATTCTCGATTAAACACGACCAGCACTTAAATATTAGTAGGAGAGATTACTTAATGTAAAACAAGTCTTAATCTGATAAACCTTTTAGAATAATCTTCTATTAGTGGATCTTGAAGGATCAATCCTCTTTATAAAATAAGCAGGTTCATATCGAGTGTAAGAGACGCAAGTTTTCAAAGTACGGTTTCAACTAACAAGCAATAGACACTGATGAAGCATAATAACTTTTCTGGATGATGTTTCATTGTACTGTAATAAAGTAAACCCAACGGATGTTGATATATGGTAAATACACTAAAATTATAAAAGATAATCATGAGAAAAACAAATAGCATTTTGTAGAGAAAATTTAGAAACATAAGAAAGACTGAAAATTTTGGATTTTATTTTTAAGTTTGTTCCGTAAAAGGACCATGGTATTTCATGATACCAAAATGTATCCATGTTATTTTGCACAAACTAATATCACCGTAACTGGAAGAGTGTATCTACTTAACAAAGGAAACTTCATAAATGATAAAATAAGTGTACTTTGTATTGGTACTCTCGTGTATATAAATATACCGTGAATTTCATTATCTCATGGAAAAGTCACAATTAGATTAGAATTGAGATCTGACGATACCTTTACATTAAACGAACATCAAGAACAAATTAAACATCAACTTTATCAATGGTTGATACAGATCATTTCGACACAGGGATAATTAGTACGATGTTCCCCTTCAATCTGACCACTGAACTGGGTGTACCATTAAATGAAGCATCAAAATGATCAGTTATTTTTCTTTTTTTAGTTTTCAAATATTATGGAATATTACAATGATAAAACAATACTAAGATCGTTTTCACTCAGCTGGTTAATAAAAAGTGTGTTAATGGAGATGATTTTTAACAAATAGAGATAATGGTTGGCTTTGGCAGTGAAAATATTTTGTTTTAACGTACAGGCTGTGTGATCACTGTTTAACAGGTATCTCAACGTAGAACATAGCAGTTTCAATTATCACCTAAAAAGCTTAATTATATTATTTATAGAAGAATGACAAAATTAAAAGAAGTAACATTGTTCGTCGAAAGAGTAAAATTAACCGATTTATCAGATAATTAAACTTCAAAATAGGAAGTTTTTAAATAGGCTTTTAAATCTAATACTGTAAAAAGTACCACATGCAAAGTAACAAATCAGATCAAGAGTACGAAATGTTTAGAAGCCGTATATAATATTAAACGTAATTTCAGTGAGAATGAGTGGCATACAGGGAAAAACTGCTATTTTTGGGGGATGAAATAAAACACGTGTTACGTTGAAACTATACAACTTGGACAAAAACAAGTACCACACTGTGATTTTCCGAGAGCAGCCTATTAACCTAATTATATTTTAAACTGATGAATGCGTGAAAATATAGATAACAATGAATAAGATTGTAATTTGCAAGTGGATGACAATT